TACTACTGCGATATAATTTTGAAAATTTTGGTCTAAGTGATTGAAAATCAGTGTCCTTACACGACAAAAATACGATATATTTAGAGGATTTTTCGAGATATTTAGAAAATTTTTTGGTATATTTAGAACTTTTTTTGAGAGTGGCGGTCAGTCTTTTTAAATTTTCATGAAGTTATTCGGGGAGCATTTTGGTGTGTCAGTTATTTGGTCACATGACTTGACGTTTTTGTGGCAAGCATGATCGTACTTTTGAGTCATGTTTCTGTTGAGGCTCCGCCGCCAAACAAAGAACTTGCGCGCAAAATCCCACCAGCTACTCGGGCTAATTCTAACCGTAAGACCCCTGGATCACAATTGACAAGCTCTGCATTATCAAGAAAATGTTGTAGTTTTTTTAATAAGGCTGTTGAATTGAAGGGAGAGCGTGACATCACTTATGTGATAAATTTGAATCTTTACATTTAGGAATTTCAATTCTTGGTCTTTCGTAAATTTTTATTTACAGCGGGAACTTAGGGGCTCATTTACTCCATCGACTTAGTTACCTTGACGACTTCAACCAGTGTCACCAAACAACTCAGTCCGTTTGAAGATGCTGATTGCAACTCGCAGGAATGGAAACTGCATCTTTTAGCAAGTTTGCTGCAGTTTGATACCGAAGAGCAACTTCCTTAAAACGTACGGTTAGAACTGTTGTTATGCTTATCACACAAAATGAGTAGGATTTCTTTGTTTTGCGATAAAATTATCAATATTGAAAATAACTCATGAACTGTTTGTTCTCCGATGGAACAAAGAGATTCGTTAGATTGATTAAGACATAACTCAACTTTCTATCGAAAACGTTCCCGTTTAGAGCTGAGGATATAAACGATTTATGGGCAGAAAGAGGTGAATTGAAATTAAAGATTCTTGAAGATCTTTGGACTAGCCAAGGAGGCAAGTTTTTAATGAGGCTCGTGAAACTTATTATTATTCAGTTTTTGGCTAAAATTGTGAGTGTACGGGCTCCTTAATCAAATAGTTCGTAAAGGAAGAAACTACTACTTTCCGATACCACAGCTGACAACACCCTTTAACACTGCCATTATTTCCTAACGAAAGAGTGTATTTAAAAGCATACATGACCCATCTCTTTTGGTATCATAATTAATTTCCCAGGGGATAAGGGCTTTTTATCTTAAAGTGTGCGACGTTTTTATATCAAAAATAAACGTTCTCTAGCTGTATCTGATTGTTACTCACTTGTCTTTTTTGTCTTTTTCCCCTTTTTTCGGTGTGAGGCTATTTCATTAAATAAACCAAAAATATGTTAACATTTTCATACTAAAATTCTCAAATACACCCCAAATTATCTCAGAAGTACGGCTTTTAGCTCACGCTTGCCCCGTCACGAGGTATTTTCTAATGTTGATCTAAAATCGCCTCTCTTCAAGTTTCAGCGAGACAAATTCATAGTTCCCTACTTTCCTCGACCCTTCACAATGTCTGTTTTATCTCCACTGTTGTCTTAGCCTCTTCCAGGCGTTCAGTTAGTTATTGTCAGAGCCTCTTCACGCGTGCAGACAATACAATCCGTCTCGAGAAACATAGTTGTCAAAGCAGAGGATGCGAAAAAACACGAGAGGATGTCCCAAAGACCCCATTTCCCACTCCATTAATTGCATAATGGATTCCCTAATGGAATGGAATTCGGAGAAGTGTTTCGGTTCAAGACGCCCCCCAGTATTTTGGTCGTAGGTCCCTTTAGTTGTGGCAAAACTTGTTTCACTGAATCGTTCACTGACCTTGGATCACTTCGAGGAATAGTTTGTATACCCTCCTCCCACGAATCACTATTGCTACGGAGCGCGGCAAGATGGATTCGGAGACATGATAGACGCTGGTGCACAATTTCACGAGGGGATTCCCGAGTCAGACCATCTCAAGTCGTGGTTTGCGAAGGGTGGATTACTGGTGTTAGATGATCCGATGGCAGAGGAAGGTGAAGACAAAGAGCTGCTGGATTTATTCACCAAACATTCTCATCATCAAAATATCACTGTGTTGTGCTAGTGCCAAGACATGTTTCGACCAGGGAAATACGCCAAGAGTATTTCCAGAAACGCCCACCACACCATAGCCTTCAAGAATCCAAGAGATCAATTAGGCATGAGAACTTCACTGCTTCAAGCCGTTCTCACTTGCTGGCAAGGCATGATGGACGTGTATTAAAAAGTGACCGAACGACTATTCGGGTACATGGTCCTGGATTTACATCCCGCCAGTGATGACAGGAAACGCGTGTTTAGTTACCTCTTGACGCACGAAGGATGCCAACGTTGATATCGAAGAAAGAGAGAGGATGTTTGATTACTGACCAAAGTGATATATTAAAACTCTCTTCAATCGACTCGGCTCATATGAAGCACGCTGTCTTGGGTGAAGGTCCACGACAGAAAAAAGACCCTGGGTGACCGCACACCGGATATTTTCGATCCCGAAGAAGAACGAAGAAGTGAGGAGGAGCCAGAAGAGGAACCTGAAGAACAACAGGAGAAAGAGGAGGATAGTAGCTGCTCCGAAGAGGAAGGAGAGGCGGAGGACGATGAATCGGACTATGATCCGTGGAATCCGTTACGTGCAAACGTGGGGGAAGATCTCAAAGAACCCTTCATGAAAGAAGTCCAACGGTTCCTGGATAGAGGGAAAACCCAAGACTATGCCGAGAATGCCGCTTTCAATACTCTACTGCCAGCAAGTAGAAGAACGATACGGAGGACTTACTGAGAGCGTCTAAAATGGACTTACCGTGTCAAACACGGCGCAATACACCGTAACGTCATGCATGATGAGATTCATGTGGTTCTGAAATTTGCTGCAGGGTATGGGTTCTCATTGAGTTGTGTTACGAGATCGAAGAATCTGTCATTGCCGTGTACTTTGCGGTCATCGACTTGTC